TGCGATATTTTTGGTCCAAAAATTCTATTAAATAAAAACTTCTTACTGGAAAAATAAAACGAAAAAAATTCTAATATTAAAATAAAACACATACAAAGCAGAACACAACTAAATGTATCAAAAGTATGTCTATGTAATATTAGAATTTTCTGAGACAATGAATTTTGGTTTTTAGTCGGGTTTTTTTCCCCAGTAAGAGGTTTTTATTTAATAGAATTTTTGGACCAAAAATATCGCAATATATCGCCTTGTTTACAGTATCGAAATATATCGGGATATATTGGGATATATCATGACCCCTCTGTCATGATATGTATCGTATCGCCAAATTCTTGCCAATACACAGCCCTAGTTAGGGACGTCAGTCTCTTGGTCGTGTGTCCAGATATTTCTGTTGTTAAGTCCTTACCTTCTGCAGACGGTGTACATGCGATTGACAGTGGAAATCCTGAAGGGCTCGTTCTTAGAACGCGTCAGGCTGTTGCTGAGCGTGCCCAGACCAAGACGCTGGTAGTCACGGCAACAGGCACGCTCCACGACGTTACTCATGGTCTGTCTGTCTGAAGAGCGAATGGTGGAGGAGAGGGTGAGGGCGCTTTGATCCACTTCCTCTGAGACTGTGGGACAAAAAACACCGCAGCTTATCTTCACTTTACAGCTCACCAGAGAAGCTACTTTTATGTAACTCCTCAATTAAAGCCAGGACAGCAACGATCTCCAAAAACACTCATTAGATCAGAAGCTTGTRCTCAGATGCTCCTCTGATCATTGAGGGACTGCAGCCTCTTCCCTCTGATATTAGCAAACCTTTTAGAAATCTATTTGTGTAGATGCCTAACAAAACTGTCTATGTTGTCATTTCTACCAACTGCTGGTGTGGCTCAGAACACCTAACTAAAAAATAACTATTTTTACTATACCAGAGTTGTAAAGTAACTAAGTGCAAATACTTTGTTACTGTACTTAAGCAGAATTTTTGTCTATCTGCACTTTACTTGAGTAATTATTTTTCAGCCTACTTTTTACTTCTACTTCTTACATTTTCACACAATTATCTGTACTTTCTACTTCTTACTTTTATTTCATTTTTGTTTGTTTTCATTCCAGGTTATTGTAAAAAATAAATACTATCCATATAAATTGTGCCTCCTAGATAGAGTGAATTTAATTGGTATAAATTAAAGTATAAAGTAGTAGTATGAAGTATAAATATATAAAATTCTGATACCGTATTAGTTTGTACACAAACAAATCATGTCGCACTCCAGCAGGACATAATCATTAAAGTAAAAGGTCTGTACTTAAGAAGTATTTGTATTTCATGAATTACATTATTGTATTTGGCCGCAGCCCTCAGATAGATTTTCATTTTGGAGAAAGGGTTTGTGCAGCCTTGATATACAGTATGTATATAAAATGAAACAGCTGGACTAGTGTATCCTAAATTTAACATCAATTCATTATTTTAATACGATATACTCATTTCTGCATTTTTGGGGAGGTCACCTCCTAATAAATGTCATTACATAAAATCTAACTRCTCATTTTAATTCAATTCTTTATTTTTAATATTTAAGTACAAAAATATCAGATACTTTTACTCAAGTAATATTCATAAATGAGACTTTAAATTTTCCCAAAGTAATTTCTTGGTAAGATACTTGTACTTTTACTCAAGCATCACTGTGTGGTACTTTATACAACACTGCACTATACCTGCATTGTTCCTCCTCTACTACCTGACTAGGACTTGAAGATCTTTCAGACAGGTTCTTCTGCCAGGTGTTCCCAGCAAACCCTCACTACAGGTTTGGGTCTACAGGGTCCGTCTGGCATCTGATCCAACTCACTGCCAAGTGGTGATCGAGTATACAAAACATACGGCTGCAGATCAGATGACACGACCACAAAGTGTCATCAAATCATTGATCTACGACCTAGAGTGTCCTGGTGTCACGTGCACTTAAGGACATCGTTCTGTTGGAACGTGGTGTTTGTGATGGACAAACTGTGACTAGCACAGAAGTCCAACCACAAAACACCCCTCAGKTTCAGATCAGAGAGGCCGTTCCTCCCAAACACACCCCAGGTCACATTTTCATTACCCAGGTGAGCACTGACGTCCCCCAGCAGGCCAGGTACTTTGAATTGCTTTAGTACTTAGGAACAACAGTCAGAAACCATTGCCCATGTAAAGGCGAAGGAAAGCTACTTTCTCATCTACAGAGGAAAACTCAAACACACAGGCACCAAGCCAGGGGGCTGTGATGGCATTCTTGCAGAGTAAGGCCCAGCCCTGGCTGTGTTTGAGCAGAGCGACACATTGAAGTGGGCAGGATCATCATATAAAAAATGTGTCGATCTTATTTTATTCATGACACAACAGTAAATGGTCTACACCAACCTTGAAGGAAAAATACTGAAGACAGTACCAGACCATCCAGCAGTATGAAGCTTAAGACAAGAGGCAAGACGACAGAGGACGGTAAGCTAACGTTAGCTTATTGTTGCTTGAAGCTTGCTACAGTGGTTGTTTAGTTGAACTTGTTTGAAAAAAAAAAACATAATAGTTGTTGCAAACAATCCAAGTAAAGTTAATCTCATTTATGGGACGTAACCCAGTGAACCAATCAAAGAGCAACAGTAGCTGATGTCAAGTTGGGTCAGCCAGGCTGGCCCGGATAGAACCACTGGTCTTGAGGTTCTAGAAATCAGGGTGGATGTGGGTGATAATCTCTAAAGCAAACAAGCTGAACCTGGGTATGAACCCGGGCCAGCTCACGCCGGGCCTCACAGTGCAAAGAGGCCATAAGTAGATCCATACCAGCCAGGTACCTGTCAATATGGGCAACTCCAGAGCAGAATAAGGTCCAGCTCCTCTCAACTTCACTCACAAGCTCCTTTCCCAGCAGAGATGCACATTTCATGTCTGAAGATCCAGCTTTAGTAACCCAGGGTCAGAGTGCCAAGGTCCCCGCTGTCTGCTACCGCCCATAACATGCTGAACCCAACCCAAATGGACCCTCCAGTATGGAAGGCCCAAAGGAAGGCAAACCCATGTTTCTATCTGGACCCCATAGGCAGAGGCCTGGTCAACAGGTGGTCAGTGATGAGCACCTCTCCAGGACCTGGCTTCAGGGTAGGACTCCTGTAAACCCATGTCCGGGCGAGAGACAGTAGCTGCTTTTCCATTGCAAATGTGCACAAAACTTTGTCGATATTCTGTTAATGTTGAAAAACACAGTTTTGCAACTGCGGTGTTTCCATTAAGTAAGAAATGCCATTAAAGTCACGCGTGAATACGCTTGTTCTCGCGATAAGTCATTACAAACATGGCGGCAATGGATGTAAACACATAGCATATTGCTACTGTGACACTAGCGCTCATCATCAGAGGAGATGTCGGCGTCTTTTATCGAGGCTTTCCAGTGACAAGCCCCTACTTGGGAGCGGCTACGTATGCTGTGTTTTTGGGAGATTGTAGTCGGCGAGTTTACTACTTTATTTTACTACTTCTGTGATTTTACTACTATTTCTACTTTCTGTTATCTTCTTCTTCGTTGTCTTTTTTGCCAGTAGAAACAGCTGGTTGTTGATCACGTGACTCCTGTGATGCGAAAAATGTGTTTCCATGGCAGTTTTGCGAAAAACACCAATTTTGATACGGCCGAAATACCACCTCATCCTAGCGCAAAAACATTTTGTCAAAAAACGTAATTTTTTTTTTAAATTGAGGTGTTTCCATTGAGCAAATTTATTTTCGAAATTCTAATTTGCGCATTTTCATGGTCAATGGAAACGCAGCTACTGAACTCCCTGATGTCTTCTGTCCCTAAGAGTGTGAATCACTCTTTACCTGGCCTGACCTACAACCAGTTTACCTTGGAAGACCTTACAGATGGCAATGCCCTTAACAGAATAGGTCATTCAAACATATTTTTGATTTAAATAAATGTTCAACATGAGTTTGTGTATGTTTTTCCTGCATCTTACTGGATGACATCACAAATAGTAAAAATCTCACAACTAAATAATTTTGGGTTTCTTAATTTAATTTCAAAAAGAATACTGAGCCTACGTCATATGTATTATTTAGCTATACTTAATATAAAGACYCAGTGGGGACCTGATAATATTTTTATATGTCATAGTATGAAAATAGTCAGAATTAAAAGGAAGTATGAATCCATTTCAGTGTGTGAACTAAAACACAAGGGTTCCAATTTTTAGTTGGAGCTAAAATATTTTAGCCCGAGAAGCTAAAGTTTATACATTTTAGCAAAAAGGTTTATAAACAGAAATCATAAGTGGTTTTTATTTTCATAGTAACATAGCTAAATGAGTGAATATTCAAATTAAATAGAATTTATTTGAGTCAGTTATGATACCTGAGATTTCATCCTCATCCAGCTCTGACTGGAAGCTGCTCCGGTTCTCCCAGCTGGGGGGAGTGTACTTCTTCCTGGTCACGTACTGCCGGCTGATGGTTCTCTTGGCACTTTTCACCAAGTTTTTTGAAAGTGTTCTGACGGACATAATATAAAACATTTTTAACAACAGATTAAATAATCAATATATCTTATTGAAGGCAGAACATTTGATTGTAGAAAAATAAAAAAGACAGTAGTGTTTTAAATGTTGTCATCAAAACTAAATTCGATTAATGCAGGTTTAAAAAGAGTTGCTGCATTATGGAAATTAATGAAGTGAAGATAGTTTCTCTTTGTGTACAACATAAAAAAGTGTTCATTTCAAATTAAAGTTTTAGACAAAAATCATCTCATGGTGAGTTCTAAAGTTTATTTTGGTTAAACCTTGAAAATAGAAAATAACCACACGCACAACATGGCAACATGTCCTGCTCAGAGTACGTGGTGCAAACGACTCTCAGCTAGCATCACACCAAATAAATATATATATACATACATACATATATACACACACATATATATATTTGGTGTGATGATATATACAGTATATACACACATATTTTTAAGCCAATTCAGTAGAAAGCAGAACTGAATGTTACTTTAGTTTCTTCATCATCGGTGACTTCTTTTCACACCAAATATGAGCAGAACAGTTTTAAAACTGACAAAGTAAAAAACCTTTTCGTGTCTCCAAAGGTCAATTGTCCATATCAGCCATGTTGAATTAGGTTGAATACAAAAAAGAAACCGGTATAGACTTGGGTCGGGCAATAATGTCAAAAAAATTAGTCACGATTAATTGTGGCATTTAGCTGATAACGATTAATATGACGATGAACCTCCTGGAGTCCCTGGATGAGCCGATGCATCCTAATCACGACTGATTTAGATGGAGCTAGTGGGAAAGATACACTCTCTCTAAGGGTGTATTGACCAGACACATTTGGTCCGCTTTAAAACGAAAAAGGTGCTGCAGCTGATTAAGATGGAGATGGAGCTACGGACACAAAGGTGGACCAATCAGAAACTTTTCAGAGGGAGGAGGGAAGCTCAAAGGCAGAGATGAAGGGAATAAACAGTCTGAGTGAGGACTGTGGGGAGGAAGAAGGCGATCCATTTGGTGTAGAAGAAGAGCGCTGAGCGGACTACTGTGGAAATCTCTGGTCATGTATGCCAGTTCGCCTGGCGGCACAAACCTTTATAATTACCAAATGCCAAATATAAATCAAGGACAGTTTTTCTGATGATTAACAGCACAAGACAATTTTGCCCAACCCTAGCATAAATGTACATCAACCGATTCCTTAAAAAAGAGAATGAAACTACTACTACTACTATTGCTACTGACTAGAAAGAGGAGCAAAAAGGAAAAGTCAGGTTATATTTTATGAATTTTAAAGTACCTGTGACATGCCTGTCCTTCAAATACAAAAAGTCAAAGAAATCATCTTTATACTTAAGAAAATTGGCATAATACACATGATTTTACACATTTTGTCACATAACTGGCCTATTTTCTTTTAAATTTGGCTCAGCCAAAGTGAAACAGGAAGTGACATCAAAGGGGAACTCATTAATAAAATAAAATTGCTTGTCTCGGTTTATTAAAACAAAATTATTTAAACTTTAACTCTTCTTCATCTCTCTTTGATAGCAACTAAAGATAATCTAAAGAAACATCAGATTTTTCTCTACAGTCTGGGTTTTTAGCTTTTGTAACAAAGCTCTTTTTACATGCTGACATTCCTCTTTGACATCACTTCCTGTTTCTTCACATGCAAATATCTCAACAACTGTTCATCTGAGCGATGTGAAATTTGTTTTACAATATTTTATCAATGTTAGATTTCCAAAAATGCATTCATGTTTATTACAAAAATTTGATGTTACGGGCACTTTAAAGCCATTCCGTACTCTGAAGGTTTTGGGTTCTTACTTTAGGGACTGGTTCTTGTCCTTGTCCTTGGGCTCCAGCATCTTGGCACTCTGACCCACAGTAAAGGCGAAGGTTCCCTGTACGTGCTGAGGATAACGCAGCTTGTGGAGGTGTTTCCTAAAGCTTTCAGCCAGATCAGATGCAACCTCCTCATCAAAGGCAATTTTTAGTAGCTATAGACCAGAAACAGACAGACGTTTTTGTCATCTCAAAGTTCTTAGGTGTTAACGAAGAATCTGAGTGATGAAAGGATCAGGAGACCTGGAAGGTGCAGGATCGTAACTGGAGCCCCTCCTGAACAAACTGGTCCATGGATAGTGTGACGGAGATTCTCTTCTCCTTGGTCAGAGAGGCGACGGGGAAGGAGCGAGTCACGATCTGCTCACCCACTGCAGAGAACAAAACACCAACAGGCCAACCAATGAGTAAAATATCCAACTAACCTCAGGAAAGCTTCTGTTTCTTACCCAGTGGGTCGGTAGGTGTGCCCTTGAAGATAAGGCGGTAAGTAGTCAGGAAGATGGCGCCCTCCGCTGGAAGAAGAGGCGGCCCTCCCATCTGTCCCGTTGATTCGTCTCGGCCATCTGGGATCAGGTGAACCCGCATGCCGTCCATCACCAGCTCCTCTCCAGGTAACAGGGTTGGTCTTAGCAGCTTGGGCTGCACAGAAATAAAAAGAGAGCAACTGAACGTGAAGAGATGATCAGCTCCAGAGGAAACATTTCCTCTAATTAACACCATTTTGTTAATCTTAAGTTAAATGTGAGTTAAATGTGAGTCATGACAATTTTAAAGTACATGTAAGGAATGAATACTGACTCATACTCATGTTACTGAAGCCTGCAGATGGCTGCATACACACACCAGATCTGACAGGGTTTGGATTTTATCAATAACASAAAGACAGATCATCAGAACCCCATGGCTGTGACTTGGGATGGGCAGTCCTTTTTAAAGAGTCTCGTTCTACTTAAAATGAGGGAATCTGAAGAATTAATGYGACCATCAAGGCTGCTTTTTGTTTGCACTTTTTTAAAACCAGCATCTTGTATTAAACCAATGTGTCGACTTTCAACACAACACTTCAAAGCACACAATCCTCTCAATAAAAAGAAAGAAGTTAAAGTCCTCACAGACGAGTAGCTGCCTGCAAGACAATTTTTAAGTCTTGCCCTACTGAATAAAAAAGTAAAAACACTCCTCTGATAATTCTTTTCAAGCGGTGATGATTGTTGATTCGTGTAGCTCCCAATTTTCTGCTGTTTGTTCAAATATACATTTTTTTTAAAAAGTACTTCAGATTCAAGGAGTTATTTGAGGCTAAAACAAATAATCCACATAGAAGATTACGTGAAAAAAATTTATACAAATTAGTCATCACGGAATTTTATTGTTGTATTATTTAACATAGTAAATGTTCATTTGCAACTTCAATTAATTAAATGAACTGCTGGGGGCAGAATCACCTCTATTGTCTGTGGTTACTTTGACTGATAGAGTGATACAGAAACACAAAGAAAAAATATCGAAGAAGCAAAAGAAAAAAACAAGACTTAATGTTTAAAAGTTGGCTACATTTCACAGAAATTAAAACAAAGAAAGTCAAATGCAGCTCTGATTATGTTCTCTGCAGGCTGGTATGTTTCAGAGAGTTTGATGCCTCATAGATTTTATTTTCAGCGACTGATCAGTTTATGCTATAGCCAAACATTTATCATTTTTGTTTGTTTATCCATCAGAAAACAGCTTTTAGTTACGCTAACGTTAGCTAATGCATTTAGTGTCATCATATTAAATCACTGAAATATAGTAATAATCCATCCAGTCTTGTCTTCTCCCATAGTGTTGAAGTCTTATTTGAACTTTTGGACCATTAGATCCAGCAAGATTTCAAAATATATATATATTTGCACTTYGAATGTCACTTTAAACCAAATTATTTTTTGTATTTTAGACATAAAAAGCTGCATCTACCTAAACCTGACCCCAGCCCCAACCCTTCCTAATTCCACCCCTAACAGAAAGTAAATAACTTCTCTGATATGTTCACAATCTGCTGCACAGTTAATGACACACATCACTGAGCTACAGTCAAAGCTAATAAAGACTAATAGACATTGCATGAGACCTTCTTCATAAGAAACAGTCACAGGAAGCTCAGCATGGTGCCCATCCCTCTCCATCACACTGCATGCAGGACCAACAGTACCCTTCAGTTTGAAGGCACTCGGCTCTGAAGGGCCTGGAGGAGCTGCAGCAGCCCGGCTGAGCTCCTCCGGCCTCAGCAGATATCAACCAGCATGATGAGGGAGAGCAATCACCCAGCATGCACTGCTCAGGCATGCTGTGAGTCACACAGTTCTGTCTGCGGCGGACAGACGTACCTGCCATGATACTGTGAGCCTGAGCTGAAGGGATTGGTGGAGAGGGGAGTGGGTGGGACTGGCAGGGGTTCAGCATGGCCTTTGTCCAGTGGGATGTAAAAATAGGAATTGGTTACCTTTTGGATGGGAGGCAGCCTTTTACTCTCCCTGTGGACTGCGTCCAGCGTCTCGATGTGCATCTGAACAATATCTGCGGAGACAGATTCATTGAGTGACGCTCCTTCTACTCCTCTTAAAGKTCAGTGAGTGTGACATCATACCTGGTATCATAGTGTGGAGGGCCTTCAGGTGTTCGTTTGTCACGCCGCTCTCATTGCAAACTTTATCAACAAAACGGTTGATGAAACGCACCACGGAGTTGGCCACATCAGAACTTTCTGCATCTTCAAAGCCACTCTCTGTGTCATAGCTCTCTGCCATGCTGCCTGCAATACTGCAGAACAAACAACCTGCTTAATACTGCAGAACACCCTGCCTAAGACTGCACATCAACCTGCTTAATACTGCAAAACAACCTGCTTAATACTGCAGAACAACCTGCTTA